CGAGTTCGCCTACAACAACACGAAGCACGTGTCCACGGGAGTCACGCCGTTCTTCGCCAACAACGGGAGGCACCCCAGAACCTTCCCGGGACTGGAAAGAATGGGGGAGGGGAGCCGCAGACAGCAGATGCATTCGCGTCGGAGTTGCAGGAGGTCCACGATCAGCTGCGGCGGCACCTGGAGCTGGCTAAACACGCATACAAGGTACAAGCGGACAAACACAGAAGGGTTGGCGAAGAGATCCATGTGGGAGACTGGGTCTGGTTAGCAGCCCACGCAGTGCCGGCCAGGTCGTTGGCGAAGAAGAAACTAGGGCATAAACAACTGGGGCCCTACCAAGTCGAAGAACAGGTCAACCCGGTGGCTTTCAGGCTGGCTCTTCCGGAGGGTTCCAGGATGCATCCGGTGTTCCACAGATCGGTGCTCACTCCATACAAGGCACCTCACAGGTTTCAGGAACCAGGAACGGCACCGGGTCCGCTCCGAGAGAGAACCGGGCAGGGGGGAGTGGCACGGGAGGAGCGCATCAACGAAGCCACGGAGATTTTGGACTCCAGATGGGGGAAGAGGGGGTAGAATACCTTCTCGCCAAGGAGGGCACCCCGGCCAGTGCCAACAGCTGGGTGCCGGGCTACGCTTTAGACGAACCTCTGCTCAAAGAAGAGTTTCATGCCCTCTTCCCACATAGGCCAATGCCAGCAGACTTTTCGACGACTGGCTTTTCACGCCCACGCTTTCAGCCAGCACGTTCCGGGGGTTCGACTCGGACGAGGAACCGACACGAGACGCCCGTTCCCCGGAGGTGTCACCCTCGGGATCTGCTTCAGAACCCTCGTATTGGTGGGATGATCGACCAGAGGAGCAGTTCCGCAGAAGGTGGCTGGAGGGTCCAGGACGAGCAACGTCTCCAGAAGGTAACGAGGGAGAGACGGACATGGACGTTTTCGGGGACGACCCGGGTTTCGAGCACGGCGGCACAGAGATGGAAGCGGAGGTGACCGTCGTCAACGAGAGCAGGGAGGAAGAACCGGAAGACTTCAGATGGCGGCCCGCCACGGGAAGCGAACTGTATCCGACATTCGTCCCCTGACACGGCAGCACCCAGATCCCGCACCGGAAGGAGGGGAGGGGGAAGAGGGGCTTCGAGGGGGATGGATGTCAGGGGTTCAGGAGCAGAGGCAAGGGCAAGGGAGGAAACAGAGAGCGAGGGGAGGAGGCAGAAGAAAAGATGAGTGATGACGACGACCCGAGATCTCCGAGTCTTTCCAGTGAATCAGAAGATTCACAGAAAGGAGCACCAGTGGCCAGGGCAAGGGGAGCCTAGGGGGACGCCCCAGGAAGATAGAGCCAGAGGGGACTCAGAGGGGAGCAGTTGGAAATCGGGACCAGCGTCACCGCCAGAGAGCAGGGAAGAGGAAGGGAGCCAGGGATCAAGCGCTGGCAGCTCACAACAGGGGGGAGGGCACGAGTCAGGGTGGCCACACCTCCATCGGGGAGCGAAGAAACGGTCAGACGGAAGGTGGAAGGTTGGGCGCGCGCGCCAAGTTCAAATGCACAGGAAGGTGGCACAGTAGGCAGCCCGGAAAGGGAGCCAGGTCCTAAAGCCCGCCGAAAGGAGGGAGAAGAGTCAGGGGGGGTCAGCGTCAGAGGAATCCCGGAAAGAAGAGACCCCAGGGGGCAGAGGGACCCAGAGAAGAACAGTCAGGCGGAAAAGGTGGAGCAGGGCTAGGATATTAAGTTGGTGTACAAGGGGCGGAGACTCAGACGGAGCTTCGCCGGTCTAACCATGAGACGTAGAGTTGCACGCAGCAGTTTGAGAATGGAAACTGTAACTCAATAAAGACTTTTGTTTAATGATCGCTGGCTAGCGTGATCCTCTGTGAGCTAGGATCTGGAAGCAGCTCTGACAATATGATTATTATTTTTTTCTGGATCTTAACTTTATCATAACCTAAGTAGGCATACCAGCCATAATGGTTGTAATGTCCTTCCAGGTCTAGAAGGTCTGTGTTTTGTAGTGTGTGGCGCCTATGGGCTTTTATAGCCTCCGCTGTTCTTTCTGGGAATTTTTCCATCAGGGCTAGGTTCATATGGCGTGCCCCCGAGGTTAGGAGCCTAGCCTCCTCTCTAGCCAGCAGTGCTGTTTCCTCAGAGGTCCATCTCCTTTTCACCTGATGTGTATTTTGTTGCGTGTCATACCAATCTGGGTGGGCTCATCGGTGATGAACACCACGTCCGGTCTTGGTATTAAAGGCTCTCTCGCAATCCGGGCGTTCGCACACAAAAACTGGGTGTTCCACTGCAGGAACTACACCAGGCCCAGCAGCACGGGAGCTGCTCCTCACCCGGGTGGTACGGTCAGAGGACCTGCCACCTCTTTGTGTTTCCACAACGATTCATGTTCGGTTTCCCGAATCTGGGTGAGGATGAACTGAACCTCTCTGGTAAGGACCCAGAGTCTCAGATAAGCCTTCCCTGTTAGCTGCCAGAAGAGTTGCCCGACTCTCACCACGAGGAGGTAGGGATAGGCACGTGGAAAAGACCGCTGAAGATTGATCAGTATAACACCACAGATCATCAGCTTCCTTTTTAATTTTTTTAATCATCATCAGGGCGCCACGCCCCTCAGACATTACTTCTGATTATCCTCAGAAGTACGGAATATTTTTTACTAGCAGTCCCGTGCAAGGCTGGGCAATTTCCTGGGCGCTCACAAACCAGCATTAACGGAAGTCGTGGTTTTATTATTATTTTTATTTTAAATATATCTTTATTAATTTAAAATAAATACATTTATGAGAAAACAGACCTACATACAAGTAAACAAACACAATCAAACAAACAAATAACAGAAAAATCAAACAAACCACCACACTATAAGATACAAGAAGATACATATATTTATCATCATATTGACTCCTGATATTGAACACAATTATAAAACTTATACAGAAGAAATTTAAAACTGGCTTCCAATTAATCTCACTGTACTTTATCTATCCATTATTTTATACCGGACAGTTACATATTTCTTATATAATTTCTTTTTACCTCCCTACGAACTTATATTTATACAATACAGTGATCAGTCTAATTATGCCAAGATGTTTCCTTTTATTCCATAGTTTTCTAAATTTTCTTTAAAGATTCCCCAATCCTTATAGACTTTTTGTTTTGGTTGGCCTCTTACGCTTCCTGTCGCTTTTGCTAGCTGCAGATATTCTACCATTAGGATTTGCCAATTTTCCGTGTTGGGTATTGTCAGGGGTTCAGGGACAGAGGCACAGGGTAGGCAGGAGATGGAGAGCGATGGGGATGAATCCCAGGACAGCGAGGAAGAGGATGACAATGACTCAAGAGATTCCATGAGTCTTTCCAGCGAATCAGAGGATTCCCAGAAGGGGGCGCCGGTGGTCAAGGCCAGGGGAGCCCCAGGGGGGACGTGTCAGGAGCAGGGGGGCCAGCGGGGGATCCCAAAGTGGCAGCTGGGCGTCAGGACCAGCCTCCCCGCCAGAGTGCAGCGAAGGGGGTGGAGGTTCCAGTGTATCAGGGGAAGCAGCTCCGGCAGCAGAGAAGGGAGGGAGGTCGGAGCAAGCCACCCTCCCGGAAGGGGAGTAGTGAAGGGAGTAGTGTAACTGTCAAAAGGAAGGTTAGAGGTTGGGCGCGCGCGCCAGGTTCAAATGTGGAGGCACGCGGAAGTACAGGGAGCCCGGAGGAGGAGCCAGGTCCCAAAGCCCGCAGGAGGGGGAAGAGCAATCTGGGGATTCCGCGTCAGGGAATCCAGGAGGGCGAAACCCCAGCGGGCAGGAAGACCCTGCGGAAAAGGAAAGAGAGGAAGAGGTGGAGCAGCGCTAGCCTATTAAAGTTGTTCAGTGGAGGGACTGTCTCAGAGGGGACTTCAACGGTCTAAGCGTAACAGACGTGGGGCTGCGCGCCTCGGATGTGAAGCAAACAATGAACTCCAATAAACACCTTTGTATATAAGAAGAACTTGGCGTTGGTCTTTTGTGAGCTGAGACCTGAGGCAGCCCGGACAGTAAGTCCCCTCTCTCATGAAACCGCAAAATTTTTTTTTGCAAAGCTCACGAAGTTTGGCAGACATGACTACTGAGGAGCAGATAACGACCCTGCGAAACGCAGTCGCCGAGCTCTCCAATGCGGTAGTGGTCTCCCAGAGGAAAGTTGACGAAGCAGAAGCGCGATGCCAGGATCTGCAAGCCAGGTGGGACCGTGCGTGCAAAGAGGGGTTCCCGGGGTCCAGATCAGAGGGAATCGGACTCGGACGGAGGGGGGGCAATTTAGTAGCCCACTTCGATGGGAACCTGAAGCATTATCCCAGTTTCAGAGCAGACGTCGTATACGCGCTGCATTTGCTTCGGAAAGACTTCAAAGATGAGGAGGAGAAAGTAGGCTTTATTGTGTCCCACTTGCATGGGGAGCTAGAGCCTGGTTACGCAATTTGTGGCGCGAAGATGGTCCTGCCCGCAGGAACTCTGACGAATTTATCAAAGCCATGGACGCTTGCTTCCAATCTACCGTTGACGTTGATGTGGCGCTGTCAGAGCTGGCTCCAGGTCCCAGCTCACAGAGGACCAACGCTAGCCGGCAGTAATGTACAAAAGTCTTTATTGAAGTACAGTTTCCATTTTCAAGCCGGAGCGCCCCAGCTCTACGTCTAGGGGTTAGATCGGCGAAGCTCCATCTGAGTCTCCGCCCCCTGTACACCAGTTTAAGATTCTAGCCTTACTCCACCTCTTACGTCTCTCCTTTCTCCTCTGGGTCCTGCTACCCCGGGGGCCCTTCCTTCCTGGATTCTTCTGGCGCTGACCCCCTGACTCCTCCCCCTCTTTTCGGCGGGCTTTGGGACCTGGCTCCCTATCCGGGCTGCCAACTGCGCCGCCCTCCTGTACATTTGAACTTGGCGCGCGCGCCCAGCCTTCAACCTTCCTCTCGACCGTTTCCTCGCTCCCCGATGGAGGCGTGGCCAATCCTGACTCATGTCCTCCCACTGGCAGTGCGCCGCCTGATCCCGATGCCTGGGACTCCTCCCCCCTTCTGCACTCTGGTGTGGACGCTGGTCCTGATTTCCAACTGCTGCTCTCTGAGTCCCCTCTGGCCCCTTCTTCCTGGGGTGTCCCCCTCGGCACCCCCCTTGCTCTGACCAAGGGAGCCCCTTTCTGTGAATCTTCCGATTCGCTGGAAAGACTCAGAGACCTCGGACCGCTGTCATCGCTCACATTTCCTTCGGACTCCTCCCCCTCGCTCTCTATTTCCTCCCTTTCCTGTGCCTCTGCTCCTGAACCCCTGACATCCATCCCCCCTTGAAGCCCCCTTCCCCCTCCCTCCTTCAGGTGTGGGTACTGGGTGCTCCGTCGTTGTGGGGGGGAGTGCCGGATACAGTGCGTCCCCGGGGGCGGGCATCCAGCCGGATCAGTCCGGCTCGTCCTCCGTGCTGTCGCCGGCCTCAAGTTCGTCTGGTTGCATGTCTGTGCCGCCGTGCTCGAGGCCAAGGTCCTCCCCAACACGTCCATGTCCGTCTCTCCCCCGGTGTCGTCCGGGGACGTTGCCTGCCAAGGCCCCCCCACTTCCTGCGCCACTGCTCCTGGGGGTGATTGTCCCACCAATAGGAACGGTCTGAGGCAGACCCCGAGGGTGATCCCTCCGGGGAACGTGCTTCTAGTGCCGGTTCCTCGTCCGAGGTGAACCCCTGGAATGTGCTAGCTGAAAATGTGGGTGTTGTCAGGGGTTCAGGAGCAGAGGCACAGGAAAGGGAGGAAATAGAGAGCGAGGGGGAGGAGTCCGAAGGAAATGTTAGCGATGACAGCGGTCCGAGGTCTCTGAGTCTTTCCAGCGAATCGGAAGATTCACAGAAAGGGGCTCCCTTGGTCAGAGCAAGGGGGTGCCGAGGGGACACCCCAGGAAGAAGGGGCCAGAGGGGACTCAGAGAGCAGCAGTTGGAAATCAGGACCAGCGTCCACACCAGAGTGCAGTAGGGGAGGAGTCCCAGGCATCGGGATCAGGCGGCGCACTGCCAGTGGGAGGACATGAGTCAGGATTGGCCACGCCTCCATCGGGGAGCGAGGAAACGGTCGAGAGGAAGGTTGAAGGCTGGGCGCGCGCGCAAAGTTCAAATGTACAGGAGGGCGGCGCAGTTGGCAGCCCGGATAGGGAGCCAGGTCCCAAAGCCCGCCGAAAGAGGGGGAGGAGTCAGGAGGGTCAGCGTCAGAAGAATCCAGGAAGGAAGGGACCCCGGGGGGTAGCAGGACCCAGAGGAGAAAGGAGAGACGTAAGAGGTGGAGTAAGGCTAGAATCTTAAACTGGTGTACAGGGGGGCGGAGACTCAGATGGAGCTTCGCCGATCTAACCCCTAGACGTAGAGCTGGGGCGCTCCGGCTTGAAAATGGAAATTGTACTTCAATAAAGACTTTTGCACATTACTGCCGGCTAGCGTTGGTCCTCTGTGAGCTGGGACCTGGAGCCAGCTCTGACAGGTGTGAAAAGCCAGTCGTCGAAATACTCGGCTGGCATGGGCCTGTGTGGGAAAAGTGCATGGAACTCGTCCTTGAGCCAAGATTCCTCCAGAGCATAATCTGGCACCCAACTGTTGGCGCTAGCCGGGGTACCTTCCTTGGCGAGGAGGTATTCCACTCCCTCCTCCCCCCATCTCGAGTCTAAAATCTCTGTGACTTCGTTGACGGGTTCCCGCCTTGGCGACCCCCCCCTTGTGGGCGTTTCCCTGAACGGGTCTGGTGCCGTTCCTGGCTCCTGAAATCTATGAGGTGCTTTGTAGGGCGTGAGCACTGATCTATGGAAAACTGGGTGCATTCTGGATCCCTCCGGCAGTGTCAACCGGAAGGCCACTGGATTGACCTGTGCCTCGACTTGGTAGGGTCCTAGCTGCTTATGCCCTAGCTTCTTCTTCGCTAACGATCTGGCCGGCACTGCCTGGGCTGCTAACCAAACCCAGTCTCCCACCTGTATGTCTTCCCCAACCCTTCTGTGCTTGTCAGCCTGCAGTTTGTATGCGTGCTTTGCTAGTTCTAACTGCCTCCGAAGCTGTTCGTGAACCTCCTGCAACTCTGATGCTAAGGCTTCCGCTGCCTGTGGCTCCCCTCCCCTGCTCTCGCTAATCCCGGGAAGGTTCTGGGATGCCTCCCGTTGTTGGCGAAGAACGGTGTCACCCCCGTGGACACGTGCTTCGTGTTGTTGTAGGCGAACTCAGCGAGCGGCAGGTAGTCCACCCATGTTGCCGGCTGCTGATTTGCGTAGCATCGCAGGTACTGCTGCATGATGGCGTTGACTCGCTCCGCTTGTCCGTTCGTCTGCGGGTGTCTCGCCGACGCTAGGTTGATCTTGACGTTCAGGAAACCCATCAGCTTCTGCCAGAAGTTCGAGATGAACTGTCGCCCCGGTCGGACAGGATAGACCGTGGCAGACCGTGAACCCTGAACACGTGGTCTATGAACAGTTTGGCGGTCTGTTCCGCCGTGGCCACCTTCGCGCACGGAATGAAGTGGGCCATTTTGGTGAACATGTCCACCACCACTAGCACTGCCGTCTTGCCCCTCGAGCTGGGTAGATCCGTGACAAAGTCCAGGGCCACCCTCTCCCACGGTTCGATCGGTGTCTGCAGCGGTTCGAGCAGTCCCGCCGGCGGTTTGTGCACTGACTTGGCCCTTTGGCAGGTGTCGCACCTCGAGACGTAATCCGCGACTTCCCCCGCATCTTGGGCCACCAAAAATCTCTGGCTACTAATTCTACCGTCTTCTCTTTGCCAAAGTGCCCGGCGGTGGGTGCGTCGTGCAACTGCTGCAGTACTTTCGCGCGGAGGTCGTCTCCCGGTACGTAGAGGGCCCCTCTGCGGATGAGCAATCCGTCGCGTATCTGGAACTCGTCGTCCTCCGCCGTGCCCCTTTGCACCTCTGCCATCTTTGCTTGCGCGAAGGGGTCCTCCTGCAGTGCTCGACGTACAGCATCCAGGTCCACGGTTGCTGAAGCGCACGCCCACGCTTTCGGTGCGAAAATGTGCTTGGCCGCTGCGGGTGCCGCCTCCTCGAGGTATTGCGGCTTTCTGGACAGTGCATCCGCCATGATGTTGTTGTCGCCTGGGATGTACTCTATCCTGAAGTCGAAATCCGCAAAGAACTCCGCCCATCGTATGTGCCTCTGGTTCCAGGAACCTTGCCGTGCGCCAGTACTCCAGGTTTTTATGGTCCGTGCGGACCTGCACTGTGTGTTTGGCTCCAATGAGGAAGTGCCGCCACGCCTTGAATGCTGCATGAATGGCCAGCAACTCCCTGTCCCAGATGGTGTAGTTCTGCTCTGACTTGCTGAGCTTCCTGGAGTAGAAGGCACACGGTCTCCAGTCCCCATGCGGGTCTTGCTGCAACAGTACTGCTCCCACGGCTCTGTCTGAGGCGTCCGTTTCAACCCTCATCGGTCTGCTGGGATTCACATGCAGTAGCTGCTCTTCGGACGAGAAGAGACGCTTGAGTTTCTGAAAGGACTGCTCCGCTTGCTCCGTCCAGATGAACTTCTTCTTCTTGGAGCTGAGCGTGTCGGTAATGGCCGCCGTCTGCATCGCGAACCCCTTGATGAACTTGCGGTAAAAGTTGGCGAAACCGACAAACCGCTGGACCTCCTTCCGATTGCGCGGGCTCTTCCAGTCCAACACTGAGCGAACCTTGGCGCTGTCCATGGCGAGCCCCTTGTCCGACAACTTGTAGCCCAGGAAATCTACCTCCTTCATGTCGAACTGGCACTTCTCCAGCTTGGCGTACAGCCTGTGCTCCTGCAGTCTCTGCAGAACTTCCTTGACGTCTCCCTCGTGGGTCTCCTCTGATTCTGAAAATATCAGGATGTCGTCCAGGAAGCAGACGCATTTCTTGTAGAGGAGACCCGCCAATACGTGATGCATGAAGGCTTGAAAACAGTGGGAGCCATTTTGTAATCCAAAGGGCATAACTCTGTATTCATAGGTGCCCAGGGGCGTGAACATGGCAGTCTTCCATTCGTCGCCCTCCCGTATGCGAATCAGGTTGTACGCCCCTCGCAGATCCAACTTTGTGAAAACGCGTCCTTTCCTCACCGTTGCGAGCAGGTCATCTATCTTGGGCATGGGAAAGGCTGTGGGCTTGGTTTTCGAGTTCAAAATTCTATAGTCCACCACAAGCCGTTTTTGGGGCGTGTCCTTCTTCTTCACAAAGAATACAGGACTGCCCCCCACTGCCTTCGACTCCCGGATGAAACCGCGCTTCAAGTTGAGGTCTATGAACTCCCTGAGTTCCTGCAGCTCGTCTTCAGACATGGAATACAGTTTCCCGGTTGGCAGCGTCGCCCCTGGCAGGAGGTCAATCTTGCAGTCATAAGACCTGTGGGGAGGTAGCTTGTCCGCTTCCTTCTCGCAGAAAACCTCCAAAAACGCTGCGTACTTGAGTGGCACTGCTTGCAGCGTGCCTAATTGTAGCTGCGGGTCATCCTCTTCCCCTTCCGGGCTAGGCAGAATGCAATGTTCCGCACAGTATGAGGAGCCGAAGGTCAGTTGTCGCTGGTACCACGCCAATGCTGGGCTGTGCCTGTGCAGCCAACTCATGCCTAATACTATAGGCGTGTCCGACAGTTGGGTGACATTGAAGCTGATGACTTCTCGGTGATTCCCAATTTGCATCACCATCGGAGGCGTTTGCTGCACCACCTGCCCCCAGCAATTCCCTGCCATCCACCGTGACAACTTTCAGAGGCAGCGTGGCTGGCAGGAGTGCTATGTTGTGCTCTTGAAGGAAATCCAGTCCTATGAAGTCTGCGTTACTACCAGAGTCAATGGTAATCGGCACTTCCATAGTGAGTCCATTGGGTAGTTGGAGCGATGCTGTGAGCTGCACCACTGGTTTGGGCGGGAGGGGGTCTGTGGGCTGCAAAATCTCTGGGGACGGCTTCATTGACTTGTCTGGTTGGGCCCCAGTGCCTCTTCCTCCAACCAGACTCTGTCGTTTCCCTGCTGTGGTTCTCTCTGCTGAGTTGCTTCTGTTACTGTTGCTGAGGCTGCAGTGTGCTTGTGGAGCCTCTGGGGACACTCTTTCGCCATGTGCTGAGCACTGTCGCAGATGTAGCACTTCCTGTTCCCTCTAGGAGGCTTCGCTTTGACTGCTCCCGGTGTTAAGGCTCTGGTAGCTGACTGAGCCCTGGCGCCTCCAATCTCCATCGGTTGCTCTCCCCCCCTTGCGGAGGTGGGGATTGCACACGCGCTGTATCCTTGGGAAAGAGGGGAGGTGCTCTCACTGGCGTACGTCCCCAACGTCCTTCTTCTCTGTTCCATGGACGTTCTTCCAGACGCACCCCAATTTGCAGCGCCCGCCGGACAACCTCCTGAGTGCTCTTTGGTCTCTCCCCCCTTGCAATCTCATCTTTCACATTTGCATTCAAGCCTTCCCAAAAAAGGTCTCTGGCTGGGGCAGAATCCTTCTCCCATCCCAGCGCATGGACTAATGCAAAAAAGCGGGAATGGTACTGCCTTACACTGGCTCTGCCTTGTTTGAGCCCATGTATGTCTTTTCTGGCGATATCAATGTCTATATTTGATAAAAAACACGAATCCATCGCTTTAATAAATGCATCCGCATTTTGGAGCGCCGGATCCTTATCTCTCCACAGATTGCGCAGCCACGCTTTAGCTTCCCCATGCAAATGGGACAAGATAAACCCCACCTTCTCTTGCTCATCTCTAAAGTCTTTATCCAGCAGTTCCAGCGCAAACAGCACGTCTGCTCGGAAGTTAGGGTACTGCTGCAAATTCCCATCGAAATGAGATACCAGGCTGCCTCCTCTTTTCCCCAGCCCAATCCCCTCTGATTTGGGTCCCGGTTGCCCCTGCTTAGCAAGCACTTCCAACCTGGCTTGGAGATCCCTGCAGGCGGCAGCCGCTTCCTCTTCCCTTTTCCTGGATGCGAGTACCTCCGCGTTGAGTTGTGTCACTGCATTTTGCAGGGCTGCTAGTTGCTGTTCTGTAGTCATCTTGCCTGACTTTTGTGAGCTCGCGAAGCACCAATCTTCTTCCCTCGCTGCGTCCACTCACGTTACGAGGTTTTTGGTGCAAAACTTTTGGAGATGGAGCTTACTGTCAGAGCTGGCTCCAGGTCCCAGCTCACAGAGGACCAACGCTAGCCGGCAGTAATGTACAAAAGTCTTTATTGAAGTACAGTTTCCATTTTCAAGCCGGAGCGCCCCAGCTCTACGTCTAGGGGTTAGATCGGCGAAGCTCCATCTGAGTCTCCGCCCCTGTACACCAGTTTAAGATTCTAGCCTTACTCCACCTCTTACGTCTCTCCTTTCTCCTCTGGGTCCTGCTACCCCCCGGGGTCCCTTCCTTCCTGGATTCTTCTGACGCTGACCCCCTGACTCCTCCCCCTCTTTTCGGCGGGCTTTGGGACCTGGCTCCCTATCCGGGCTGCCAACTGCGCCGCCCTCCTGTACATTTGAACTTTGCGCGCGCGCCCAGCCTTCAACCTTCCTCTCGACCGTTTCCTCGCTCCCCGATGGAGGCGTGGCCAATCCTGACTCATGTCCTCCCACTGGCAGTGCGCCGCCTGATCCCGATGCCTGGGACTCCTCCCCCCTTCTGCACTCTGGTGTGGACGCTGGTCCTGATTTCCAACTGCTGCTCTCTGAGTCCCCTCTGGCCCCTTCTTCCTGGGGTGTCCCCTCGGCACCCCCTTGCTCTGACCAAGGGAGCCCCTTTCTGTGAATCTTCCGATTCGCTGGAAAGACTCAGAGACCTCGGACCGCTGTCATCGCTAACATTTCCTTCGGACTCCTCCCCCTCGCTCTCTATTTCCTCCCTTTCCTGTGCCTCTGCTCCTGAACCCCTGACAGGCGCGATGGGAGATGCATGGATTGCGGCAGGGCAAGGCTACAGTGCGTCAGTACCATTCTCGCTTTTTTGCATTGCTGAATGTGCTGGGCTGGGAAAAAGACTCCCTGGCAGTGAGAGACTTGTTCTGGGAGGGGCTCCATGGCTCCGTAAAAGATGAGTTGGCCAGGGGGGACAGACCTCAAACCCTAGCAGACGTCGTGCAGAGGGCACTCACGATAGGAGTGCGCCACGAAGAACGCCCTTGGCACAGTGAGGAGGGGCGCCAAGTCCGTGCACCAGCTAGAGCGCCTCCTTTTCTTCCCAGGGACCTGGGACGTTCAAACCTTTCGCCTGTGCTGGCAGCGGGGGAAGAACCAATGGAACTTGGTGGTGCAAAGGCTCAGACAGCTGCCGGAGCCTCAGCGTCCGGAGCAGTCAAGGCGAAGCCTCCTAGAGGGACCACTACGTGTTAAATCTGTGAAAGTGCACAGCACAAGGCTAAAAAGTGTCCCCAGAGGCTCCAGAAGCACCCTGCAGCCTTAGCAACAGTAACAGAAGCAGCGCTCCAAGGAGAGCAGTTTCAGGGAAACGACAATGCCTGGCTGGAAGCAGAGATGCTGGGGCTCAGCCAGGCGAGTCAGTAAAGCAGTCCCCAGCGCTTTTGCAGCCTACAGATCCCTTACCACCCAAGCCAGTGGTGCAGCTCACTGCTACTCTCCAGCTACCTAATGGACTCACCCTGGAAGTCCCCAATACAATTGACTCAGGGAGCAACGCAGACTTCGTGGGGGTGCAGTTCATCAAGCAGCATCGCATAGCGCTTCTACCAGCCACGCTGCCTCTGAACGTCGTCACGGTAGATGGCAGGAAGTTGCTGGGTGGGCAAGTGGTACAGCAGACGCCACCCATGGTGATGCAGATTGGGAATCATCGCAAGGTCATCAGTTCAACGTCACCCGCCTGTCAGACACGCCTATAGTGTTAGGCATGAGTTGGCTGGATAGACACAGCCCATCATTAGCGTGGTACCAGCGGCAGCTCACCTTTGGCTCGTCCTACTGCGCACAACATTGCATCCAGACCGGCCAGGAGGAGGAGGGCCAGGAGGAAGGGCAACAGTTGCATCTAGGCATGGTGCAGGCGGTGCCCCACAGAGTACAAGGGGTTTTGGAGGTCTTCTGCGAGAAGGAAGCTGACCAATTACCACCCCACCGGCCCTACGACTGTGCAATTGACCTCTTACCAGGGGCGACGCTGCCGACTGCGAAGCTGTATTCCATGTCTGAAGATGAGATGCAGGAACTCAGGGAGTTCATAGATCACAATTTGAAGCGGGGATTCATCCGAGAATCCAAGGCAGTGGGGGGCAGTCCTGTGTTTTTCGTGAAGAAGGACACGCCCCAAAAAAGGCTCATTGTGGACTATAGGGCCATAAACTCGATGACAAAGCCCAAGGCCTTCCCCATGCCCAAAATTGACGACCTGCTCGCGACGGTGAGGAAGGGGAGGGTCTTCACCAAGTTGGATCTACGCGGATGTCAGAGCTGGCTCCAGGTCCCAGCTCACAGAGGACCAACGCTAGCCGGCAGTAATGTACAAAAGTCTTTATTGAAGTACAGTTTCCATTTTCAAGCCGGAGCGCCCCAGCTCTACGTCTAGGGGTTAGATCGGCGAAGCTCCATCTGAGTCTCCGCCCGTGTACACCAGTTTAAGATTCTAGCCTTACTCCACCTCTTACGTCTCTCCTTTCTCCTCTGGGTCCTGCTACCCCCCGGGGTCCCTTCCTTCCTGGATTCTTCTGACGCTGACCCCTTTGGGACCTGGCTCCCTATCCGGGCTGCCAACTGCGCCGCCCTCCTGTACATTTGAACTTGGCGCGCGCACCCAGCCTTCAACCTTCCTCTCGACCGTTTCCTCGCTCCCCGATGGAGGCGTGGCCAATCCTGACTCATGTCCTCCCACTGGCAGTGCGCCGCCTGATCCCGATGCCTGGGACTCCTCCCCCCTTCTGCACTCTGGTGTGGACGCTGGTCCTGATTTCCAACTGCTGCTCTCTGAGTCCCCTCTGGCCCCTTCTTCCTGGGGTGTCCCCTCGGCACCCCCTTGCTCTGACCAAGGGAGCCCCTTTCTGTGAATCTTCCGATTCGCTGGAAAGACTCAGAGACCTCGGACCGCTGTCATCGCTAACATTTCCTTCGGACTCCTCCCCTCGCTCTCTATTTCCTCCCTTTCCTGTGCCTCTGCTCCTGAACCCCTGACATCCATCCCCCTCGAAGCCCCCCTTCCCCCTCCCCGCCCTCACGTGTGGGTACTGGGAGCCCCGTCGTTGTGGCGGAGAGTGCCGGAGACATTTCGTCCCGGGCGGCGTGCAGCCAGCCGGAAAAGTCCGGCTCGTCCTCCGTGCTCTCGCCGACCTCAATTTCCTCTGCTTCCATCTCTTTGCCGCCGTGCTCGAACCCAAGGTCCTCCCCCAACACGTCCATGTCCGTCTCTCCCCGGTCTCCTCCGGGGACGTTGCCTGCCAAGGACCCCCCAACCACTTCCTGCGCCACTGCTCCTCTGGTTGATTGTCCCACCAATAGGAACGGTCTGAGGCAGACCCCGAGGGTGATCCCTCCGGGGAACGTGCTTCTAGTGCCGGTTCCTCGTCCGAGGTGAACCCCTGGAATGTGCTAGCTGAAAATGTGGGTGTGAAAAGCCAGTCGTCGAAATACTCGGCTGGCATGGGCCTGTGTGGGAAAAGTGCATGGAACTCGTCCTTGAGCCAAGATTCCTCCAGAGCATAATCTGGCACCCAACTGTTGGCGCTAGCCGGGGTACCTTCCTTGGCGAGGAGGTATTCCACTCCCTCCTCCCCCATCTCGAGTCTAAAATCTCTGTGACTTCGTTGACGGGTTCCCGCCTTGGCGACCCCCTTGTGGGCGTTTCCCTGAACGGGTCTGGTGCCGTTCCTGGCTCCTGAAATCTATGAGGTGCTTTGTAGGGCGTGAGCACTGATCTATGGAAAACTGGGTGCATTCTGGATCCCTCCGGCAGTGTCAACCGGAAGGCCACTGGATTGACCTGTGCCTCGACTTGGTAGGGTCCTAGCTGCTTATGCCCTAGCTTCTTCTTCGCTAACGATCTGGCCGGCACTGCCTGGGCTGCTAACCAAACCCAGTCTCCCACCTGTATGTCTTCCCCAACCCTTCTGTGCTTGTCAGCCTGCAGTTTGTATGCGTGCTTTGCTAGTTCTAACTGCCTCCGAAGCTGTTCGTGAACCTCCTGCAACTCTGATGCTAAGGCTTCCGCTGCCTGTGGCTCCCCTCCCCTGCTCTCGCTAATCCCGGGAAGGTTCTGGGATGCCTCCCGTTGTTGGCGAAGAACGGTGTCACCCCCGTGGACACGTGCTTCGTGTTGTTGTAGGCGAACTCAGCGAGCGGCAGGTAGTCCACCCATGTTGCCGGCTGCTGATTTGCGTAGCATCGCAGGTACTGCTGCATGATGGCGTTGACTCGCTCCGCTTGTCCGTTCGTCTGCGGGTGTCTCGCCGACGCTAGGTTGATCTTGACGTTCAGGAAACCCATCAGCTTCTGCCAGAAGTTCGAGATGAACTGTCGCCCCGGTCGGACAGGATAGACCGTGGCAGACCGTGAACCCTGAACACGTGGTCTATGAACAGTTTGGCGGTCTGTTCCGCCGTGGCCACCTTCGCGCACGGAATGAAGTGGGCCATTTTGGTGAACATGTCCACCACCACTAGCACTGCCGTCTTGCCCCTCGAGCTGGGTAGATCCGTGACAAAGTCCAGGGCCACCCTCTCCCACGGTTCGATCGGTGTCTGCAGCGGTTCGAGCAGTCCCGCCGGCGGTTTGTGCACTGACTTGGCCCTTTGGCAGGTGTCGCACCTCGAGACGTAATCCGCGACTTCCCCCCCGCATCTTGGGCCACCAAAAATCTCTGGCTACTAATTCTACCGTCTTCTCTTTGCCAAAGTGCCCGGCGGTGGGTGCGTCGTGCAACTGCTGCAGTACTTTCGCGCGGAGGTCGTCTCCCGGTACGTAGAGGGCCCCTCTGCGGATGAGCAATCCGTCGCGTATCTGGAACTCGTCGTCCTCCGCCGTGCCCCTTTGCACCTCTGCCATCTTTGCTTGCGCGAAGGGGTCCTCCTGCAGTGCTCGACGTACAGCATCCAGGTCCACGGTTGCTGAAGCGCACGCCCACGCTTTCGGTGCGAAAATGTGCTTGGCCGCTGCGGGTGCCGCCTCCTCGAGGTATTGCGGCTTTCTGGACAGTGCATCCGCCATGATGTTGTTGTCGCCTGGGATGTACTCTATCCTGAAGTCGAAATCCGCAAAGAACTCCGCCCATCGTATGTGCCTCTGGTTCAGGAACCTTGCCGTGCGCCAGTACTCCAGGTTTTTATGGTCCGTGCGGACCTGCACTGTGTGTTTGGCTCCAATGAGGAAGTGCCGCCACGCCTTGAATGCTGCATGAATGGCCAGCAACTCCCTGTCCCAGATGGTGTAGTTCTGCTCTGACTTGCTGAGCTTCCTGGAGTAGAAGGCACACGGTCTCCAGTCCCCATGCGGGTCTTGCTGCAACAGTACTGCTCCCACGGCTCTGTCTGAGGCGTCCGTTTCAACCCTCATCGGTCTGCTGGGATTCACATGCAGTAGCTGCTCTTCGGACGAGAAGAGACGCTTGAGTTTCTGAAAGGACTGCTCCGCTTGCTCCGTCCAGATGAACTTCTTCTTCTTGGAGCTGAGCGTGTCGGTAATGGCCGCCGTCTGCATCGCGAACCCCTTGATGAACTTGCGGTAAAAGTTGGCGAAACCGACAAACCGCTGGACCTCCTTCCGATTGCGCGGGCTCTTCCAGTCCAACACTGAGCGAACCTTGGCGCTGTCCATGGCGAGCCCCTTGTCCGACAACTTGTAGCCCAGGAAATCTACCTCCTTCATGTCGAACTGGCACTTCTCCAGCTTGGCGTACAGCCTGTGCTCCTGCAGTCTCTGCAGAACTTCCTTGACGTCTCCCTCGTGGGT